TGTCACGTGGGATGTGAGCTCATGCAGGAGGGGGTCGGCAGGAGGTGAGGGTGAGGGTGAGGGAGGTGGGGGAGGGGGTCTTATTTGCGGGAGTGTTATCTGATGAGCTCTAATTATCAACACCTTCCCTAAAAGACGTGAGGAGATAATTGGGGGAGAATAATCAACCAGTGACGTTCGACTCCCATGCTGTGTTAGAAGAGACACGTGTGGAGGCAGAAGCTGTGGATCGGGGGCCCTGTTTCAGGTCGCAGGCGCTCCGACTCCAAACCCAGGCTTCGTGATGTGGAAAGTACCAGACAAGTTGGTACTTCAGCCGAGAATTCTAACTAAAACCACGAGCTGAATCTGAATCCCGGGACTGGACTCCAAAACATAAATAATAAATAGACAAAAACGTGACCTGAAATATGACAAATACAGTCGGTGACCCCAGAGCTAGCCCAGGGAGGCCGAGGACCAGCAGTGGTCCATGTACCACAGATTTGGAACCACTGTGGTAGAGTGTGTTGGTTGTTTGAGGAGCTTAGAATCAAAACTCTACCAACATGGAATTGTTCAGTCTGGTGAGTTAACGCTAAAATCTAGGCTAACCTGCTAATGCTAATATTGTTTTTTTTCCAGTTACTGCACCTGAGTGTAACAGTAGGGGGTGTGAATTCTTCATTTTGGTTCCTTTATATACAGTATGTGCTCGTAGACTGTTACACTCCGCGCTGAAGAGGAGTTTTTATTTGGTTCCAGGGAGACGAGACGACACAGAACTGTCACAACTCTCTGACTGTAGCATTTTTCTGTGTCTAATTATTCTAATGCTTTTTTTTTTTTTTTTTTTTTCTCTCGCAGCAGTCAGGCAGGTGTCTCCAACAAAGAGACACTACTTTAAATATTTAAGTTTCGTCTGACTCACTCTCTCGTCGGCTTGTCTTCTCTTTTCTCCACGTACATTTTCAACAAATATAACAGTGGCTGTCGCCGCTCTGACGGTTTTCTCTGCTCCATTTTTTTTCCTACATTTATCCAATCAGCTTCAACTAAAAAACAAAAACATCAGATGATCTGAGGTCCAACATTTTCTTCATAGTTTTTTTCTCCCTTCTTTTTTTGAAAAAACCGTTTCCTGTTTCCTACAGATGGATGAATCGACTGGGGCTCGCCGCGATTGGTTACACACCCGATGACAAGGTGCCGCGTCCTGACGAGGGTAGGATGGATCAGATGTTTTTATAAAAAAAAACTACGAGAAAGGCCGTCTGTGTTAATGTGTGTGTTAATGTGTGTGTGTGTTGTCGCGGTCAGACTACTGGAGTGAGAGCGATCAGGACGAGGTGGACGGATCCATGACCCTCAAACAGGAAGGCCCCTCCTCCATCTGTGATACGTATCACCGGACGCCATCAGTAAGAGCCAAACACTTGAATGATCTACAGTGTTTATTCAGGTTGATGATGTCATTCATTCATTCATTCATTCATTCATTCATTCATTGATGACAGCACAGACAGTATAATTGTGGCTAATAATATCACTGTTCTTTTCAAGTCGTCACATGACAACAAAGTCCAATGTCGAGTGTATTTAAGAGTGTGTTTGTGACATGATCAGTTATACACATGTAACTAGAGCAGGGGTGCCAAACATACGGCCCGTGGGCCAAAACCGGCCCGCTTGTGCTTTTAAACCGGCCCACTCAAAGAATTTTAAGAATTAAAAAATTTCACAAATACTTTATGTTCAGGAAATGTTTTGTAAAACTATATTTCATTATAATATATATATTGTATATATATATATATCATAATATATATAATCACATATAATTAGGATTGATCTAATATACTAAAGTGGGGAATTACTGATCCTGGAAAAAATAAAAAAAATAAAAAAAAACTTCCTTCATCTTCCTGTCTCTCCTGCATCTTCAGAGAAGGACTAACAGCAGTTGGTGTTGGTCCAGGACAGAGTCTGTGGGGGGGGGGGGAGGACTCTCTCTCTCTGTCCTCCACTGTAGACAAAGCCCCAAATAATCTGGGAAAACGATCCCAAAGTTCCTGAAGTGAGAGCTTGTCTGTCAGACTGATGCAGCTGAAAAAGTCCTGGAACAGATGATGAAACTGTGTCACTGAGCCTCATCCCTCCATCATGTTTTCTCCAGAGCAGCAGCAGCAGCAGCAGCAGCAGCAGCAGCAGAGTCACCGGCCGTCAGTCATGACTCTGGAGTTTCATCATTTGATCTGTTCTGTTAGATGCTCTCTCTCTCTCTCTCTCTCTCTCTCTCTTTTCTCAGTGTCTTTATTTCAGTGTTTATTTTTCCTGACTGTTTTCTTCTCTGATCTCTGATTCATCTCCTCCTCCTCTCACGTTGGTGCCCCGCCCCCCACCTCCACCCTCACTCCTCCACCGGTTTATGAACCTGCGTTTCACCTTTTCAATCCAACCCTCTTCACTTCCTCTCACCCGCTTCACCCTCACCCCAGAGTCACCTCCTCCACAGTCACGACCAGTTGCCCCGCTCCGTCAGCTCCGTCAGCCTCATGCGCTCCACTCCATCCCCCCGCCCCAAATCAATGAGTGCCTCCACCTCCCCTGTCCCTCCACAAATGGTCTCTTCCAACTCCCCTCTGCCTCCCCAGGTCAACTCATCCAGCCCCTTCCCAGAACCCAAGCATGGCCGTCACTTCTCCAGCGAGTCCACGCACTCCCACTCCTCAGCCGAGGACCAGCGTGGCGACGGCATGGGCATGGGCACGGGCACGGGCAGCACCAGTACGCACTCCTCGGGCTGCCGCTCCTCCCACCGCGAGCGCCGCTCCTGGCAGGACCTCATCGAGACCCCGCTGACCAGTTCAGGCCTGCACTTCCTGCAGACGGCACCGGGGGAGAGCGACTACGGCGGCCTGATGGGCAGCATGGCCGGAGAGATGGGGCTGTACGGGGGGCTGGGCCGGCAGGGCATGTCGCCGGAGAGACGCAGGCAGGCCACGCTGCCCGTGCGTCGGCACCACGCCGCGGAGAGGGACAGGGACCGGGACGGGCCCTTCCCCCTGGAGAGGGGTCCGTACACACACACTCACACTCACCGCCGCTCCCATAAGCAGCGGAGTCAGAGTTTGCCCAGGAACAGAGACCCGCTGCCGGGAAAGCTGCTGCACTCCTCCATCCACATGGAGGAGAGGAGTGAGGACGAGGAGGCGGAGGAGCAGGGCCTGGACCTGCTGGAGGGTGAGGAGGGTAAGGAGATAACGCAGCATGGAACGTTGTGAGGGAGAAACGTTTTTTAGCTGAACATTACCTTACTTACCAGGGGTGGCGCCATACTCTCTGATACCGATATCAATCTGATACCGATCTGATATCGTCTTTTCACCTCTAACGTCTCACCACAGGCTGTCGTTGCTAAGGCGACAGTGTCTATGTTTACAAAGTTGAGCATTTGGTCTTAGGTATCGGTCATCGCGATAGTGTCCCTGTTTACAAAGTTAAGTTGAGCATTTGGTCTTAGGTATCGGATCAGACGGGCTGTAGCTGTTTTGTTTTCGATGTTCGCTCTGATTTGATATTTTCACCGACACCAAGTATCAGATGGAGCCGTCCCTGTTATTTACAAAAAACTTCTTTAACTGTGCAGTACAAATATACTTCGAGTCGATATTTAGTTTGAGCCGATGATAATTCAACCATTCACCGAAGCTGATGACGCGCTACAAGACTTTGTGACAGATTTTACCCATGATTCCCTGCTGGTCTGCACCAGTTCTGACCGTACATGGTTGGTGTCACAGATATCTGTCAAGTGACTCTGTCTCTGGTCACAGACCTGCGGGACTTGAGGGTCGACAGCAGGGAGAGAAGGATATCGGAGGGCCGTGAAGCCGAGTCCCTGGACGGCCTGGAGCAGCTGTACCGGGCCCTGGAGCAGGCCAACGTCACGGCCTTGGGAGAACCCAGACCTTGTAGCAGACAGGAGCTGCGGCGCTGTTTCACCCAGAGAGCCAGAGACCCTCTGCTCAACGACAGGATGCACCGGGTGCGAGCTCTGCGCAGCACCCTGAAGGTAGCACACGCAGAGTGACGTGTTCCTGCGGGGGGGGGAGGGCGGTACAGGAGGGGGGTGAGGATTCTGTGGGGGTCACTCTTTGGCCTTGTCTCTGCTCCTCCAGGCCAAGGAGTCGGAGCTGGCCGTCATCTGTGCCCTCCTGGAGGACCCCGGCCTCTGCTCGCAGACCTTCAGAGAGTGGAAGCAGTGGCACAGCGACCTGTACTCCGACATCTGCCAGCTCAGCCCCGGCACCAACGGCCAGGACGAGCTCTCGCCACTGGCCGCACCTCTCATGACCCACACACACTCCTTTATTGAGACCCACGTTTGAGGAAGAAAAAACAAACAAAGAGACTTTACACACACTGATATAAACACACACACACACACACACACGTCACTTTACTTGAGCCAAAACTTCTCCCCTGACCACAACTTTGCACACGCGCTGACACTGACACACACACACACACACACACACACACATTGTCCGAAGTGTAAATATTGTCGAAGGAACAGTCGGAGCTCTGCCTGTGTGAACTTTTGATAACCTCCAGGACCCCACGGGTGTCGATTGCATGCCGGAACAGAAAGCATTAATCTTCCTTTGTCTATGGAACTCAGCATAAACTCCACCTGCTCG